CTAAAACGGAATGGAAAGTGCATTCTAAAATGGAAAGTGAAGGTCACCAGGGCTGCGCTGGCCATGTGGACAAGCAGAGAGGCACGATGTACTTTAGGGAGCTGCTCCCCCACCCGTCCACCCACGTGACTGCCTGGCACCAGGTGTGCTGTCGGAGGGAAATTGAGAGCTGCTGCAAATGCCTGCCTTCCTCTCGCTTCCAGGAGTTCAGACGATGGAGAGGAAAGCAGCTGGCAGAGATCTGCTGGAGGGATGCTGAGCTCAGAGACCCCAAGGCCAGCCCCCTGGGACTCCCCCTCCAAAGCTCTTGTGTGTCCGCTGTCATGAGCTGTGCTTGTCTTTATTCCTTCCCTACTTAAATCAATGATGTGGAAACGAAACATTACCGTCCCCTGCCTTCGACTCGGTTTCACTCACTGTGACCCCATGTGTCAGAGTAAAACGTCTCCTGAGGCTTTCCTAGACTAATCTCTATGAAGACAGACCGCTGGGTCTTTTCCCCTATGGAGAGGCTGGGGTGTTCGACTCACCACTGCCAACCTCTTGGAGAGCAGCCACCGAGCACTCCTTTACAGGACCCTCCCATGGCCATTGAGTTGATTCCCAATCTCAGCGACTCTACAGGACACAGTGCAGCTGCTCCTTAGGGGTTCTGGGACGTCAGTCTTGACACAAGAGCCCACAGCCTCATCTTTCCCTCTCAGAGTCACTGGTGGGTTTGAACTGCTGACCTTGAGGTTAGCAGTCCAGCGCCTACCCCACTACGCCACGAGGGTTCATTCTCAACTACCATCATGGATGGTAATATTTATATTCGAAGGAGCTTTCCATAGTAAAAAGCACAAGTTTGTGGACTTAGTTCTCACGGAAGTTTCAACTAAAACCCTTGCCTGCTCTGGGAGGCAGGCAGGGAAGCAGAGAGAGCTCTGGCCGGTGGCTAAAGTATTAACTAACATGCAAGACCTCGGAGCATCAGAGTGTTCGGAGCAGAGGGTTCTTGGGAAAGAAGATGACATGTTAGGGTCAGTTTCTGAGAGATTCTTCATCCTTTCCCCTCTCGAGATGTATTTTTCATAACAAATTAATATAGTGTCTTTTTTTTCCTAAAGAAATGTAATTGTATTCATGTATTTCTGATTCAAAACTGGAAACATACAAAAGGTCTGAAGTATCTCTGAGCCTCCTTCCTCTTGGGGGACCAGCCTGCCTAGAGGCACACTAGGTGGACAAGCGGATTCAGTAGTCATGTCCTTTTCTACAAACACAGATGGGTACACATGCTAAATGCAGCCCTGCACCTCACTCACTTGGACAATGTCTCCTCTCCCTTTCACTGCATCCTGCTCCCCGAGGTTATTTTTTGAGAGCTACAGGTGATTCCATTGCAAGGGGGTTATTTAACTAGTCCTGCAGGATAGGTATCTGGGATGTCTCCCATCTGTTGCCACCACCAACTGCTCAGCGGTGAATAAACCTGTATATTCATCACTGTGCCTGGGAGGACACCAGCCCTGGAAATTCCTAGAAGTGTAATTAGTAATTAGCTTGCCTTTCAGAATGCTGTTTAGCATGTGTTTATAATGTTTCCGTCCCGCTGGGATGGAGGGCTGGGACCAGGCAGCCACTGACTGACCGACGGAGGGGTAGCAGCTCAAAAGAGTGGTTTTTTGTTGCTTTGTTATTTTCTCCATGCCCAGCCTTGGTCTTCAGGGGAAAAAAAAAAAAAAAGAAGAATTCAATTGCAGCTATACAGCCCGGACTGAGTTCTCTATGGATTATGGATTTTTATAAAAGCTGGGAGGGAGGGCAGTGAGATATTGGATTCCCCAAACTGGTTTTCTCGTGCTCAGTTTAAAGTTCACCTGCTGGCTCTGAGGCTTTGCTGCCAGAGGGGTGGTGTAGCGTACCTTCCTGACCTTCTTGCCTTCCATCTGAATGCATCTGTACCCTGGGAAACTTGGGGTTTGTTTTTTGTGCCCTAGGGGCTCCTTTCAGTGGTTCCTGCTTGGCATGTGGTAACGGCAGAATTAGGGTCCCATCCTTGACCAGTCTGGTGGGAATTGTCAACAGGACTCCGGATCTCCTGTGTTTGGAAAGAGGCTGTCTCTGGCTAGGGGCAAGGGTGTAGCCACAAAAGGAAGACTTCTGAAGATGGAGAAGCTGTGGATAAGTCTCTGAGGAAAGAGGCAAGCCAGTGTCCTGTGCCAAAAGCCAAGAGGGCCTGTGACGTATGTGACAAGTCTCAGTCAGTGCTCCCCACAGGACATGGGGCAGTCTGCAGACATTTGTGTTTGTCATAACTAGAGGAGGGCATGCTACTGGTACCTTGTGTATGATGTTGAACATCCCACAATGCACAGGATGCCCTCACGGCAAAATCCCCCTCTCCAAACTATTCATTCCGCAATCAATACTCATGGAAGCAGCAGTCAAGAAATCAAATGATGGATTGCATTAGGCAAATCTGCTGCACAAGACCTCTTTAAAGAGTTGAAGAGCAAAGATATCAGTTTGAGGACTAAGGTGCCCCTGACCCAAACCAGGGTATTTTCAATAGCCTGATGTGCATATGGAACTTGGACAATGGGTAAGGAAGACCGTAGAAGAATTGACGCATTTGAGTTGTGGTGTTGGAGGAGAATATTAAAAGTACCATGGACTGCCAGAAGAACAAACAGATCTGTGTTGGAAGAAGGACAGACAGAATGTTCCTTAGAAGCCAGGATGGTGAGACTTTGTCTCTCATGCTTCACACATATTATCAGGAGGGCCAGTCCCTGGAGAAGGACATCATGCTTGGTAAAGTGGAGGGTTTGTGAAAAAGAGGAAGACCCCCAACGAGATGGACTGACACAGTGGCAGCAGCAGTGGGCTCTTGTCCAAGTGTAACAATGTTTGCGACGTTGGGCAGTGTTTCGTTCTGTTGTGCAGAGGGTCACTGTGCATCGGAACTGACTCAGCGGCACCTGACAACGACAAAATATCCAAAGAGACAAGAGAACGCCTGTCCTAACCCAGTACTAAGGAGCCATGGTGATGGGATGGTTAAGCACACAGCTGCTAACCGACTAAAGGCTGGAGATCAAAGCCACTCAGCAACTCCACAGGGGGAAAGATCTAGTGATATGTTCCCAGACAGATGGCAGCCTGGGAACCCCTATGTGGCAGTTCTACCCATCACATGGGGTCACTATAGCCAGATTCCACTCAATGGCCCCCAACAACAGCAGCAGCCCAGTGTTGATATGGAATTATACATAGATGGGTAGAAAATACTGTCTGTGGAAGGTGTTTGGTAGTGGCTGTTGAGTTGGTTCCGACTCATGGTGACCTCATGTAAAACAAAACAAAACACTGCCTGGTCCTGTCCCCTCCCTCCCATCGCTGCTGTTTGGGTTCCTCGTTGCTGCCACTATGTCTCCAAACATGATGTCCTTCTCCAGGGAGCCTTCATAAGTACATGCCCAAGGTTCATGAGACAAAGTCTCGGCATCCTGGCTTCTAAAGAGCATTCTGGCTTCACTTCTTCCAAGACAGATTCGTTCCTTCTCCATGATATATTCAATATTCTTCAGCAACACCATAATTCAAAAGCATCATTTAATTCTTCGGTCTTCCTTATTTATTGTCTGGCTTTCTGTTCCAAGCACCCCGAGGGACCCCCCTTCTGTTCCCAGCCTCTGGCCCTGTGCTGGGCACACAAGGGGCCGCCCTGAGTTCTACTTCTTCACCCCTTTCTGTTGTCAACACTCAGGCTCCTGCCTCAGAGGAGAAATAGATGAGAGAAGCAATATCTCAGGATTCATGACAATTTTTCTCCTCCGGGCTCAGAGAGCTTTTCCAGAACAATGTTACTTTATATTCCTATAATATAATACAAGAAGGATTGCTCTTTTCACTTCCCAGATAGACGTATTTCCCGAACAGCTGTTCCTGACAGCTAGTTAGTGCATGAACGGGATCAGAATCGATAAGTCTCGAATCCCTTTTTTATTTTTACAAAATGAAAACAGCTCCCACCACCACCCCGATTATAAAAATGATACATTGTTTTTGGTTTTAAAATATTCTAACGGTACAGAAAAACATAAGGGAGGAAAATTTGTTTTGTTTTGTTTTTAATTTCCCAGATTCTGCACCAAGAGATAAGCAAATGTAGACTTGTTGGTACATACTCTTCCAGAGCTTTCTCCACACGTGGGCACGCACACGCTATCCATACTGTTCCATCTAGACCAGGGATTTGCCAGCTTGGCCCTGTTGGCAACTTGGATCAACTAACTCTCTGTTGTGGAGGTCTTCCATTAGGGTGCTCAGCAGCATCCTTGGCCTCCACACACGAGATGCCAGTCACATGGCCCATCCACTATGGGACACCCAGAATATCTGTAGACACCGCCATTTGCATGTGCCCTGGGAGCAAGACTACTTCCGGTGGAAAGGTGCAGCCTTCAGTGTAACCTCAGTGTAACTCGGTCCAAGTGCAATGTTGGAGCAACAAAGAAGCACATCATCCTTAGAGCTGGGGAATCAGGTACTCACCGGGGTGAGCTGGTGTTCTCATAAAGATCTAGTCACTGAAACCCTCTATAGGGAAGCTATGAGTCAGAACTGACTCAACGGCAGCAGGTTTTTTGTTTTAATCTTCATCAGGAAGGGTCAGTGCCTGGAGTAAAAGGGTCAGCGCAGAAAAGGAAAACCCTTAAGAAGATGATGGATGGTTACCACAATGGGCTCAAACATAACAATTGTGAGAATGGTGCGGGACCAGACAGTGTTTCACTCTGTGGTGTGTGGGGTTGCTATGGCTGACAACTAACTTGACTGCACCTAACAACAACAGTCTTTAAGGGAGATGACCATCAGTCACATCCTTCTCCCACAGAGTGGCCGGCCTTTAGGCCAGGAGCCAAATGCTTAGCTATTTCACCACCAGGCTCTTTACAAGAGCTTTAGGTAAATTCCTCAGCCTCTCAGAACCTCAGTCTGCACATCCTTACACTGGGGCAGGAGGAGAGGAGATCTGAGTGTCAAAGGCTGCTGTCCCCTGGGAGGAGGTGTAGGGCAGGAAGTTCTCATTAGGGGAGATATCTGGGGGACCAGCCCTGGGCCTCCTGAGATGGGGGCCCCTGGGGACAGGAAGGAGAGAGGAGGCAACATGGCATGGTGCTTGATGGGAGTGGGGTGGGGGGCGGTAGTGCTGAGCGGGGCTCTGGGGGAGGAAGGAGAGAGGAGGCAACATGGCGTGGTGCTTGATGGGAGTGGGGTGGGGGGCGGTAGTGCTGAGTGGGGCTCTGGGGGAGGAAGTCTTCAGGGTGATTTATACCAGGCACCCAGGCAGAGCCGGGCTGGCTCAGGGAGTCATGAGCTTCTGTTTGTGGGCTTTGGTTTTTAATTCAATTCTTTTGGAAAACAGATAAGCATGCAGTCTGTTTCAATCTAGTGAACTGTGTTTTTTGTTGTTTATTTTTCACGAAAACTTTGGTTTCTTTTGAACGTCAGATATTAAATTTAAAAAAAAGACAAATGTATGAGATCAGTTAGAGGTTTAGCAAATTGGCTTATTCTGTTGGGGTAAGTGGTGAGTCACAATTCTGGTCCCTATAGGTTGGGCTTTTAAACAGCTAAGGGCTTGTGAAAAGGAAGACACTGGCTGAAAAATGTCTGCTTTCCCAAACCAGAGCTGTGGTATCGCCCCCTCACTGCCTCCAGCCCTTGGTGTCTGCTTTCGTCCTTGGTGTCTGCTGACCCCTCTGGGGGCCAGGTACACCAGGTAAGCTGTCATCTCTTCACCCGCTCCCCTGCACTCCCAGAAAAACGTGGCTGAATGACCCCTGCCCTCTTCAGACTCTGTAAAAATGATCTACAGGTTTTCATCTTGGATGGCACCCCTGACCCTTCCCTTCCACAACACCAACGATACCAAAAGAGTGACCAGCAAGTGACAAGACAGATACATGGGACCTCATAGAAATGAAATACTTTTGTTCATCACAGGAATTCATAAAATCTGGGGAAACATGCATAGAATAAGGGTTTAATATTCAGCATGTATTTAAGAACTCTTACAAGTTGATAACAAACAGGCAATGAGCACAATGGACATGGTTGTTGCTAGGCGCCATTGAGTTGGTTCTGACTCATAGCGAACGACCGTTATCTCTGCACAACAGGATGAAACACTGCCTGGTTCTGCACCATCCTCACAACAGTTGTTAAGCTTGAGCCCATTGTTGCTGCCACTGTGCCAATCCATCTCCTTGGGGTCTTCTTCTTTTTTGATGACCCTCCACTTTTGCAAGCATCATGTCCTTCTCCAGAGACTGATCCCTCCTGACAATACGTCTGAAATATCAGAGATGAAATCTCGCCATCCTGTACTTCTACCAACATAGATTTGTTCGTTCTTCTGACAGCTCTTGGTACCTTTAATATTCTTCTCCAACACCATAGCTCAAACACAGCAATTCCTCCTTATTCAGTGTCCAACTTTCATGTGCATATGAAGCGACTGAACATACCATGACTTGGGTCGGGCTCACTTTGAGCATCAATCAGATTTGTCTAATGCAATATATCATTTGATTTCTTGACTGCTGCTTCCATGAGTGGTGACGGTTGATTTGAGCAAAATGAAGCCTTTAACAACTTCAATCTTTCTCCATTTATATGAATGTTATTTATTTATTGGTCCAGTGGTGAGGATTTTTATTTTCTTTGCATTGAGGTGCAACCATACCAAAGGTCTTTGATCTTCATCACTAAGTATTTTAAGTCCTTTTTGCTTCCAGCAAACAAGGTTGTATCATCTACATATCTCAGGTTGTTAATGAGTCTTCCTCCAATCCTGATGCCACATTCTTGTACTTCTTCATAAAACCCAGCTTCTTGGATTATTTGCTCAGTGCACATTTTGAATAAGTATGGTGAAAGAATACAGCTCTGGAGCACACCTTTCCTAATTTTAAACCATTCAATGTGCCCTTGTCCTGTTCGAACGACTGCCTCTTGGTCTATGCAGAGGTTCCTCATGAGCACAAACAACTGCTATAGAATACTCATTCTCCACAATGTTTCCATAGTTTGCATTACCCACACGGTCAATAAAGCACAGGTAAACATCTTTCTGTTATTCTCTGCTTTCACCCAAGATCCATCTGACGTCAACAATGATAGTCTTCATTTCACATCCTCATCTGAATCTGGCTTGAACCAGTGGCAGTTCCTTGCCAATGCACTGTTGCAGTCATTTTTAAATTATCTTCAGCAAAATTTTACTTGCCTATGATATCAATGATAATGTTCAATGATTTCCGCATTCTATTGGGTCACGTCTCTTTTGGAATGGTCACAAATATGGGTCTCGTCCAAGTCAGTTGGCCAGGGAGTTGTCTTCCAAAGTCCTTGGCATCAATGAGTGAGTCCTTCCAGTGCTGCATCAGTTTGCTGAAAGATCTCAATTTGTATTCCATTAGTTCCCAGGGTCTTGTTCTTTGCCAACGCCTTCAGTGCACCCTGGACGTCTTCCTACAGTACCATTGGTTCTTAATCATATGCTATCTCTTGAAATGGTGGAACATTGACCATTTCCTTTTAGTACAGTGACTCTGTGCATCCCTTCCTTCTTGTTTGGATGCTTTCTGCATCATTCAGTATTTTGCCCATCTTGTGTTGTGTGTAGTTTAGCACCTTCGAGTTGGTTCTGACTCATAGAGACCCTGATTAGGGCTTCCAAGGAGCGACTGGTGAATTTGAACTGCTGACCTTTCCGGTTCAAACAAACTATGAGGTTCAGTGCATTATCCCACAGCACCACACCAGGACTCTATTAGAAGCCTTCAATATTGCAAATCGAGGCTTGAATTTTTTCTTTAGTTCTTTCAGTTTGACAAATGCTGAGCATGTTCTTCCCTAAAGGAATTAGAAAACTCCAGGTCTTTGCACACTTCTTTATAATACTTGACTTTGTCTTCTTGAGCTGCCCTTTGAAATTTTCTGTTCAGCTCTTTTCCCTCCTTATTTCTTCCATTTGCTTTTGCATCTCTATGCAGGAGAGCCAATTTCAGAGTTTCTTCTGACATCCATTTTGCTCTTTTTCTTCTTTCTTGTCTTCTTTATGAATGTTTGCTTTCTTCCTTGATGTCATCCCACAACTTTTCTGATCTTTGGTCATTAGTGTCTAATACATCTAATCTGTTCTTGAGATGATTTCTAAATTCAGTTGGGATATATTTAAGATCAAATTTTGGTTCTCGTGGACTTGTTTTAATTTTAGAGAACCCACAAATACATACATATATGTTGTTGTTGAGTGTCATCGAGTCGGTTCTGACTCATAGCAACCCTATAGGTTTCTGAGGAGCAGCTGATGAGTTTGAACTCCATAATGAATATGGAGAATATGGAGTCCTGGCGTGGCGCTGCGAGTTAATGCGCTGGACTGCAAGATCAGTTTGAACCTCAAGGTTTGTGGTTCCAGCTCATCAGTCGCTCCTCAGAAACTATACAGGGTTGCAATGAGTTGGAACCGACTCGATGGCACTTAACAATAACAACAACAACACACACACACACATATAAATTTGAAAATGCTCAATATCATGGTTGTAGTTCTTGCTATTAAGGGGCCAGTGAGTTGGTTCTGACTCATAACAATCCTGTCTAGAGTTTCCAAGGAGTGGCTGGTGAGTTTGAACACAACCTTGTGGTTAGCAATCTAATGCTTATCCTAACATCAATGGTGGTAGTGGTTATGTGCCGTGGAGTCGGAACCGACTCATAGCGACCCTGTACAGAGTTTCCGAGGCTGTAAATCTTTACGGGAGCAGAACGCCTCATCTTTCTCCCGCGGAACAGCTGGTAGTTTCAAACTGCTGCCATTCCAAAAGACCGAACCAATTGCCCTTGAGTGGCCCCTAACTCATAGAGAGTAGCCTTGCCTTCTGGGACAGAGGCAGATTGCGCCATGGGCTTTCTGGGCTGTTGATCTTTATGACAGCAGATTGTCCTATGTCTCTCCCACGGAGCACGGGTTTGGTCTTTTGGTTAGCAGCTGACTGAGTGCTTAAGCAGTACACAACCAGGACTCATTCACGGTTGTCAGGTGCCCTGAAGTCGACCCCGACTCATAGTGACCCCATACACAACAGGAAGAAACACCGCCAGTCCTGGTCTATCCTCCCAGTTGGTTGAGCCCATTGCAGCTGCCATGGAGACAATCCATCTCTTTGGGGGTCGTCCTTGTTTTTACTGTCCCTTCACTTGACCTGGTATGACATCCTTCTCCAGGGACTGGTTTCTCCTGGTAATTCAAAATCTGTAGCTCTGGATTCCTACTCATGAGTTGTTTAGATGATGCAAACCAAACCCACAATGCCATACCACCCCACCCCTATTAGAATGACAACGGTCCCCTCATCCCACATCCAAAAAAAAGGGCCAACAGATGCTGGTAGTCTTTGGAGAAACTGGAACCCTCATTCATTGCTGGTATGGCTATTGGGGGAAATAGTTGGGTGGTTACTCAAATATTGAACAAAGAACTCTCACATGACCTAGCGACCCCCAATCCTAGGTCTATACCCAGAAGTGAAGGCAGGAACACAGCAGACACCAGTACGCTGACGTCCATAGTGGCCAAAGTGTCCATCAACAGAAGGATGGATGAAGACAATGTGGTCTGCGCACACAGTTGACCACTTTTCAGCCATAAAGAAAGATGAAGTTCTGACCCATGCGGGACCATGGAGGAACCTTGAAAACATGCTGAGTGGCATAAATCCGCTACAGAGGGACAGACACTGTATGATCTCACCTATGTGGAATCAGCAAATAGATTGAAACCAGTGGTTCTTGGTGGTTGTCAGGGATGGGAGACTTTTTGCTTAGGGGGTAGTGGGTTGATGTTCATGGGGGAAGAAAGGTACAGAAATGGAGGGTGGGAATGGTTGGACAACTTGAAGAAAGCCATTCATGTCCCTGAAGTGTAGATACAGAGATTCTTGAGTTGGCCAATGTTTTGTTATGTATGTTTTTAATCAAAATTTACAAAAATGTGTCAGTGGCTTCTCCTTGCTCACTTCCCTGGTCTTGCTTGGGTCCCACCTGCTCTAGGCCCCTTCTGTGAGCA